ATATATATATATATATGTGTTGCGGACATCGTTGACCTCGCCCATACTGAAAATTAGACATTTTTACTGTACCAATTAAGAGATATTTCAAAGTAAATGTCATACATTTGTACTCAGAAACTGGTACATTTCTGAATATTTGAGGTGCTATAAAAACTATTTTCTCAATAATTCCAAACAATGACTGATGCATCTGTCTTCAAGACATCGTTGACTCCTCCCATAGTGAAAATTAAACATTTTTACTGTACATATTAAGAGATATTTCACAGTAAAAGTCCTATATTTGAACGTTCAAAAAGCTCATTTCGGAATATTTTAGGTGATATAGAAAATACTTTTCTCAATAATTACACACAATGCATATACTGTAAGTTGAGGAAATCTCTGACTACACATATACAGAAAATGAAACATTTTTACTGTGGTAATTAAGAGATTTTTTAAAGTAAATGTCCTACATTTGTTCCAAGAAATATCCAATAACTGAATATTTGAAGTGTTATAAAAAGAGTTTCCTCAATAATTCCAAACAATGATTAATGTATACAGTTGCATCTCAATGAATTAGAATATCGAAAAGTTAATTTATTTCAGTAATTCAATTCAAAAAGTAAAACTCATATATGATATAGATTCATTACACACATTATTTCTTTTAATTTTGATGATTATGGCTTACAGCTAATAAAAACCCAAAATTCCGTATCTCAGAAAATTAGATATTACATAAGACCGATTAAAAACAGGATTTTTAATACAGAAATGTTGGCCTACTGAAAAGTATGTCCATGTACAGTATACAGTATGCATTCAATACTTGGTCGGGGCTCCTTTTGCATGAATTACTGCATCAATGCGGCGTGGCACGGAGGCGATGAGACTGTGGCACTGCTGAGGTGTTATGGAAGCCCAGGTTGCTTTGATAGGGGCCTTCAGCCCGTCTGCATTATTTTGGTCTGATATTTGATTCTCAGTATAAGTATAGTTAGAGATGTCATGAACACATATGCACTAGTCATTGTCTGGAATTATAAAGAAAACTCTTTTTATAGCACCTCAAATATTCAGTTATTGGATATTTCTTGGAACAAATGTAGGACATTTACTTTAAAAAATCTCTTAATTACCACAGTAAAAATGTTTCATTTTCTGTATATGTGTGGTCAGAGATTTCCTCAACTTATATGCATCAGTCATTGTTTGGAATTATTGAGAAAATAGTTTTTATAGGACCTCAGATATTCAGAAATGTACCAGATTCTGGGTACAAATGTATGACTTTTAATTTGAAATATATATATATATAATTGGTACAGTAAAAATGTCTAATTTCCAGTATGGGCGGAGTCAACGATGTCCTCAGCACATATATATCAGTCATTGTCTGGAATTATTGAGAAAACTTTTTTTATTACACTTCAAATATTCATATATTAGATATTTTCTCGATTCAAATGTAAGACATTTACTCTGAAATATCTCTTAATTGGTACAGTAGAAATGTCTAATATTCAGTATGGGTGGAGTCAACGATGTCCTCAACACATATATATCAGTCATTGTCTGGAATTATTGAGAAAATACTTTTTATTACACTTCAAATATTCATTTATTAGATATTTTCTTGATTCAAATGTATGACTTTTACTTTGAAATATCTCTTAATTGGTACAGTAAAAATGTCTAATATTCAGTATGGGTGGAGTCAACAATGTCCCCAACACATATATATCAGTCATTGTCTGGAATTATTGAGAAAATACTTTTTATTACACTTCAAATTCAAAGTTTTTGCTTAGTAAAATATCTTAATTGACTGTCAGTCAGGTATTATTAATTTCCAGCAACCCTCAAATCAAAGCATAAAGACACTTTACGCACAATTTAGGTGTATTTTCCCTTTAACTCACGAGATGAAGGTATAATTTTTTATACTTATTGGACTATAATTCATTTAATCTCATTTCTATTATGCAATATAGAAAGATGAACTTTCAATATTTCTATATATAAAGAACTTTGTTAGCATCTTACTTTGAAAACCGGACGTTCGTCTGTAGAAAACCGGAAGTTGTCTCCCGTTAATCTTTCCGCTAACTTTGCAAAGTTCTTCGCTCGCTCCCGATCTGTATGAAGGTATATTTGTGTCTTTATTACACAAACAAAAAAAAATGTTTTAAAAGCAAATTTCTCGCACTGCAATCAAAAATCAAGTTTGTAAGTGAAAATATATAAACTGAGAATAATTTATTTGTTAGTTTTGCTAATGAAACTAGAATTTTTGGTTCAAAAAATAAAATCTTTGGTTAAAAAAACACCAGACAGGAGGTTACGGTGACATGGAGGTAAGTTGACTGCTCTGTTTTGTCAAAATTATTTTAAATATAGCAGCACATCACTTTGTTCTCATGTTGTTAGTGTAGTGGAGTCTCGTTTTAAGAACGACATGGAGGGCTGCTGTGTTGACATGTAGCCCCCACTGTTTAGATGATGCAGATACCGAGAGACAAGTCAAACCGACCAATAGAAACTCCTGGTACATTCAGCAGCGTATGCCCCACCCACTACACCCAACTCAGCTTTTCGTTTTGAAACCAAAGATATTTTTTTTTCAACCAAAGATTGTTTTGTTTTTAACCAAAGATTCTAGTTTCATTAGCAAAACTAACAAATAAATTATTCTCAGTTTATATATTTTCACTTACAAACTTGATTTTTGATTGCAGTGCGAGAAATTTGCTTTTAAAACATTTTTTTTGTTTGCGTAATAAAGACACAAATATACCTTCATAGGTCTGTGCCGTTTGGTTGCGTTTACCGTAAGTTTCAGCGTATAGGTGCACTAAAATTTAAGTGTCTGCTGAGTTGACCACGGAGATCTGAGTGTCTGCTGACTTAACCGCAGTCTATTACTGGGGACATATTTAGCCGGTGCCAGTGTTGGCAACTTGCTCGCTAAATCTGGCGACTTTCCAAACCCTCATGGCGACTTTTTTTGTCAAAAGCTACTAGCGACAAATCAAGCGACTTTTCTGGTGTTTTGACTGTCCTGAACGAGCAGCGGGTGCTGCTGTGAGCCCCTCCGCTGCTGCAACGCATACACAGGCGGGTACTCTCACAGAAGCCTTGCGCTGCAGTCAGAGCAGAGAGGAGACGCACTCTCGACGTATTCTCTGCAGTATCGTGAGAATACAACACGTGTATCTATAGGTGTTGGCTTCATTTTTACACGAAACAAATAATAACCGTAGCTGTGTTTCAGTTGCAGGACAGCAGTGAAGGCCCAGGTATAAAATGCACGGGCCGCCACTGCCTCTAAGGTATTGATAACGAAACAATTCTTAGTTTCAAGTGAATATACACTAATGACAACATAGTTAGAGATAGATATATCGAGAAATATAGTAGCACAAGTAGAAATAAGTCATAAGTCAGTCATCCTCCATAAAGTTAAGGGACTCATAAAAGAATGGTCAAAATCAAAGCAGCAGGCGTGGAGATATCCTGACTTTTATTCACTAGTTTTGATGAAGCTCTAAAAACACTGGACCCCACATTTCCCATAATGCAACTCCAATGTGTCTTTTCAATAGTCTGTACCTGCCTAGTAAACTCCCATGTCTGTCAAAGTCCACGCCCCCAGTTTGTTACTCTGCAAAAGGCTTTCTGTTGAAAGTTTATATCCTTCAACCAGACATCACTCTGATATCTTCAGGGATTACGTTTTCACTTAAAGCTCCTCCAGAGGCGCGCATCTGTTTTCACAAGATGAGCAGTACAGTATCATTTGAAAATGGTGGATGCTCATTTATGTAGGCTTGCTCTGAAGTATTGTACTTAGCTACAGTGGAAATCACGTCTGTCAGCACAGGGGTGTCATTAATTTCAATCTTTTTAAATAAAATGCACTGCTATTCCTATTTGTCCAGTAGAGGTCAAGCTGTCCTAATAAGAGTAGCAGGTCCTGTGCTGGAAACACTATTATAGATCCTCTGTCAAGTGTAAGCTACTGTTTATTCAGGGGCAAGCGGTGGCAAATGTCAGTCAAAAAGTGGACACAGAGTACAGAGTTTTCCATGAACAATGGACCAGTTCCTGTTTCTTCACAGAGGTAAATGGGAAGTCAGTGTGCTTTGTGTGTTATAGCACCATTCAGTGCTCAAGGAATGTAATATTTGGTGTCACTATCAGACTCTTCATGGCAAAGGATACAAGAACTTGTATGGACAACTGAGAACAGAGAAGATAAATGAAACAGGTTTGAGGAAACAGTCCGTTTTTAGTCGTAACCCAGAAATCAGCCATTAATTAGAAACATTTTCAGTAATCATTCATACTAATTTACACTAAAAGACAGGGAAACAGTTGGAGGTATTATCTTTAAGTTAACATGCAAAGGTTTTACTGGTCCAGCCCAGTTGAGATTGAATTGGGCTTTATGTGGCTTTTGAATTAAAATTGGTTTGACATTAGAGTGACAATATTTTCAGATGTTCAAACATATGCTTTAGATTTTATCTGTAAAATCCTACTCTGCTTCTACAAAAACAAGCTTCAGACATTATGTAGCTGTTCACAAAAGTCAGCAAATTAGAGAATTTTGATTTCTACACCATAGTTTTCTCACTTTTCCAACTTATTTAGTGGCTAATTTGTATGTTATTTAATCGTGTAAAAGCAAATTAGAAAAATATAAAAGATACCCTCCTCCAGTTATCGTCTTTCTTGAGTCTAGAGTAAGACATCTATCAGTTGGCTGTTGAATGTTGCACCGCTGTGACACCTGGACGCGCACGCGCACACACACACACACTCAGCTGCCTGTACCTCTGGTGTGTTGCAGGATCTATGATTGTCTTGGCCATTGAGCAGAAGAGGTTTGCCCGCATCATGTGATGACTTCTGAATCATCGATTAGACACAAAACCACAACACATGCGATACACAACGCCCACACTGCTCATGCACAAGACTGGCGTGACTGCTGTGATGTGCCATCCATCTGGACACAGTCCTGTGGTGGGAAACCCTAAACAGCCAGGATTAGATTAACACCACTGCACCAAAGTTACTCGTATACACATCCTCCACCAAATAATGTTTACACTCAGTCTTTTATTTTGCAGCAATTGTAAAACAAGAAGATCACAAATATACATACAATTTCCAAGGACGCCTCACATACTTAAAAATATTAAAGTTCAGTGTTGGAGTAACGGCAAATATTTCAAATATAAAAAGATTTTTGTCTATGGTCAAATATTAACATCATGCACAGTATGGTAATTCTCTTATTGACACAAACACACATACGTTCACTCACACGATCATGCACAAGAGCTAAAAACGTCACATTCTTCCATCTGAAAAGGCCAATGGTTCCCTCTGTCTCTCAGCAGCAGGTCCACAGCTCTTTCTCGGGTCTTTTCTTGTTCAGGACTTTAAAGGACCCGTTCGTCAAGGTGTTTGCTGCTGCAGGTTTCTTCTGTCTCTTCAGTTTGGCACCAACAGCAACAACAATGTCCTCCACCTTATCCTGCTGATACAGCACCTCCCCGTCACCTCGTCGACCGCTCCCGCATTTGTTTGGCGGGTTCTTGGCGGACGTCTCAAAACACATCATGCCGTGGGCTTTGGCGAAGCTCGTCGCCTGCTCCTGGCTCACCTGGCTGTCAGTCCTGCTGGGGTCACGGAGGTCACTCTTATTACCCACCAGGAACCTGGGAGGAGAATGGGCAGCAGAAACGGACAAATGAAGGATGATGATATTAAGAGTTGCACAAAAGAGTAATATGGTCGTAGGATGTTGACTCAAGTAGAAAGGTTCGATATGATTTAGGGGAAAACACATTTCTTGCACTGGTCAATTTTGAGTCTTCTTTCAGACTAGTGAAGAAAACATCAAAAATACACTTTTAGGTTTATTTTACTACTTTGTCTATTTGCGTATTTTGATTTCTCCTAAATTCACCAAAAATTTGTATAAGATAATGCATATTTAAACATACAATTTCAGAAACAAAAAAAATTAACTGTCTTAAAGTACCAAATTCATGTGTAGTGCCTTGAGTGCATATTTTTAAAGACAGTTTTCTTCTAAATTAGTTTTAAATCCACTTTGAGCCAGAAATCTCCACTTTCATACACCAAACTGTGTTTAATGTACACAAATTAGCAGATATCAAATAAGATAATGCATAATTTGCATATTTAAACATACATTTTCAGGAAACATGTAATACAAAAATAATTGTCTTAGTGCAAGTAATGGACTGGTATAATTTTTTATCGTATTCTCCTGGGGAAAGACTCCTATTCTTTCAGTGAGTATCAGCACATTACCTTGGGATTTCCTGCCCGAGGGAGTTCTGCCTGAACTCTTCTATCCAGACTGTCAGGCTGCAGAAGCTGGCGGGACAGGTGACATCATATACGAAGAGCACAGCGTGGACATTGCGATAGTAGTGCTGCACCATGGACTTACGGAAACGCTCCTGTCCTGCTGTGTCCCACAGCTGGAGCTGGTGATGATGAGGTGGCAGAGACAAAGAAAAGTGACAAAGAGGAAATTAATGAGAGGGAAGGCACGAAGGGCAAAATAAATCATATGTTGAAATACCCCAATGCTGATGCTGACACGCATGCACACACACACACTAAGTGAATCATCACTGAGGGGAAACAAAGAAATGGAATAAACAAGTTGATGTGATCATCAAAACTCAGATATCTCTGTCCTTGAATACATTAAGTGCACTTGATGTATTTTACGATGATGAAAGGACTTTGTATAAAATCCTGTAAACACAAATTTGAAAGGAAACTTCAGCTGCTGAGTCATTCATTAGCACTTGGAAGACAAAGGATTTGTAACAGTTTGAATTATCTTACGAGGACATGTGATCTGATTTAGACTTGCCCTCTGGGACTTTAGTATTGACTTGAGAGACATGAGATTGGCTTGATTGACTTGAGACTTGCCCTTGAAGTCTCATAAACAGCTCTGATAAAATTATAAAATACTTTGCATTAAAGAAATGACTTGATCAACTCAAGATGTTTTGTAAGGTGCAATGTGTAAATTTAGTTTAACACAAATAATGAACAAACATCAAGAGAATGTGAAGAAGTTACAGTGTTGACGTTACGTCAAAGACGTCTCTATATTGTGTTGCAGAGATATCTACTGAAATGAGCATGCTAACCAGCTAGCCTCGGCTCGTCCTGTCTTGTAATACCACTTGTACCTTGAGAGGCACTGTAGCGCCCAGTCTGCCATGTCCAACATGAGAGGATGAAGAAATAGAGATGCCCCAAGGTGTCAATCGCATTGGAAGTAAGTTTTGATAGTTTGTTTATTGGCAGAAATCAGAAAACTCGTATTTTCATTTCATCCCCTTAATTTTGCAAAGCATTCTTGACCTGCTGTTAGTAGTTTGCCTTTTTACTGTAACCGATGACTGTAAATTTAGACTATAGGTGAAATGCTGCCTCCTATTTGTTTGGAGCGTGCGGCAAAATCTTACACATTGCATCTTTAACTACACGTTTATTTTGAACAAAAGACTGTCAATTTGATGCACCAGGAACAAAGCTTGAAACCTTGTCTGCCCTTTAACAAATCCACAGTCACCACCGATAGACACTTCCTCTGTCATGTGGTCGTTTCAAAACACTCAGGAAACAGCACAAACCAACCAACACCCACAGATTTAAGATAGAATCATCGAATAAACATGCAAGTCCCTCACGTGTCTTCCCACCATGGGGTTCAAATTAAACATGCCCAAACTTCAGGAATTAAAAATCTGAGCTGAATTAGCTGGCTGTAAGAGGCTGTTGATTAAACGGTTAACATGCCGCTAGAGTCAAGCATGTAATGTTTACAGAGACTTACAGGCTGCATTCGTTCTGCAAGCTGATTTTATTCCATCCAGAGAATTCTCAATCATTCAGTCTGGGATAAATAAATCAGCAGAGATACACTGGAGTGAGAGACATTACTAAAGAGCCATAAAAACGCAGTATAAAACATGATAAAGGCACGGTTAAACAGCACAAACACCTGCAAGAGTCTAAGAGTCTAACAGGAATAATAGTCGGTTAAATTGGGCCCATGAATAGCACTGGATCCATTGTGACAATGACATGGGATTAACATTCAACCTAAAAGAACCAACATTACTTTATCAACCAGTTTATTTTTAACCACCGCTGTGCGTAAAAATATTAGTTTGGCACAGTTAGCCTGTTAATGGGTCCATCGTTTCTTTAATTGATGAATGAACACTTCACCAGTTACCTTAATTTTCTCTCCGTAGATATCCAGCTGTCTTTCGCGGAAGTCCACCCCGATGGTAGCTTCCACTCTGCTGGGGAACTCTCCGGCGCAGAGTCGGTGTGTGAGGCAGGTCTTCCCCACCGCGGAGTCTCCAATCACCAGCACTTTAAAGGTCCGGCAGCGAGTCAACAGGGAGGACACGCTGCCCAAAGAGTTGGAAAACTCAAAAGATGACTCCATTTGCCCGTCGGTCACAGTAAATTCACGAGAAAACAAAGCGCAGAAAACGCGGTCCGCGTCAAACTTTATCTCCAAGGGACGTTTCTAATAAAGATGCAGATCTGAACAAGCGCTATTAAGACTTCTGGGAGGAAAAACACTTTCTTTAGGTGATTTTTAGTGTAATTTTTCAACCGAAACGCTCCTTGAAAACTCCTCGCGCTGCTGATCCGCGTGAATGGAAGGAGGAGATAGAGTCTCTGGCGTTTCATTTGACAGCATGGTAGTAATTGGTGTCTGAGGGTGGAGAGTTGGTCAAATGACGAGCAGCAGTTAGTTTACAGGCTGATAAATATGGATATCTATCAAAACATGTTGTTGTAACCCTTTACCTTTTAATTTGTCAAAATAAAATGTTTAATAATTGTTGGACCTTCCTGCCAGCAGCCCAGCCAAGATAACGGTTACAAGCTGCATACGTTTCTATTTGTATTATTCTGTCAGTTTCTAGATTGTGAAACACTCACCTATGCCTGTGAATTAAACTGGTGTGTTTTCATCAGCTCCACACAGCCGACCATTACATCACATGTACTTTATTAAATGTAAGATTAGAGATGTTTCCTTTAAACTAATGCAGAACGTTTACCATACCAAGCATTTCTCAAGACATTAAGAATAGTTTAAATATAAAGTACATTTTTTCACAGCTCAACCTGAAACTGTGGCACAACTTGTTCTTCATTGTCAAAACCTACTCTACCACATTTTGGAAGTTTCCAAATGTATTAGTTTTATTAAAATATTTTAGCATTCTTTTATAGACATGACTTACATAACATATTTCAGAAAAAAAGCATATAAATATATATATATATATTTTTTTTACATAAAACTCTTAAATCTTGTACCAATAAAAAGGCCATTCTACTGTAAGGGCAAGTGTTGCCTGCAAAGTATGGATGCAGATATATAATTACAAATTATTTAATCTTGTATGCATGCTTATTCATTTTAGTTTTTTCCTCACCTTCTGCGTGTGCATAATATATATATATATACATTTTTTTTTTTAATGACAGCAGCTCTCTCATCCCTGACCAGTCAGTGTAACATGCTGCTGCCCCCAGTCATATTTACCTTACATTTTCATATATTGGAAATATTGTGGATACGTAATTACAAGAATCTGGTTAGTCTGACATAAACCAACTCTGGCTTGGATTTTATTTATTTATTTAATAACAAATCCATATTTAACTAACAAACTATGTATTTTATATACAGTGGCTACATCCGAGGACCAAAATCGGACCTGGCAGCAGCTCAGTGAGATTAACAGTGGCTACACATACAGATGAAAAGAAATAAAATGTTTTTTCGTTTGGTTTTAATACAAAAATCCAGAGATATCATACATCGCCATCTCAGATTTCACCTTTCACATTAGAACCCAAATTAGATGAAAACAGGGAAGAAAATAGATTATTGAGGGGAAAAAGGGGGAGGAACAGAAAAAATAAAACAAATTCCAGATGCTCATAAATTTAGTCACCTTGTAACTTTTTTCCTTCCGTCACTTCGGGCAATGGGCTTGGATGCTGAACTCTGACCTTTTGAGGAGCCATTAAAATGAGCAGAGAAGAGCCCCTCAAGAGTTGAAACATCCTACTTCAGACTGTTACAGCCCCTGTGTACATGCAGATAAAATCATTTCTAACAAGTGACGACAGCAACAACACAAGTGACTCTGCCAGGAGAACCAGATCTAGAAATGATCTTCATCAATAGGAGTTTCACTAATCCATTGTGGACTGGAAGGTGTCTATGGTATTGCTTAGATCTATCCAACTCTCAAGATTATGTAAAAATGTTAGAGAATCACTGTACTTGAAATGGCACACATCCTTTACAGTTTTTAATCTGTGCTACAAGGTGCTCCATATTAACACACAGAGGATTACATATTCCAAAGTTTAACCAGGAACTGTGAGGAAAAAAACAAAAAACTGTTCACATGTGAGGAAACGTTCTTCGTGCTGTACACCTGCAGAGATTGCGCCTTGCTCACACACTGCCCTGCCACATGTAGATACAAGAGACACAGATAGGCCTGTGGTTGCTGGATGTCCTCAGTGTCTACTTTGGGTCCTCAGTAACTCCTCCTGCTCAGCTTCCTACAGATCCGTAAGAGATCAGATCCACTCAGCTCAGTCTCCCGTCCCCCAGTGACAGTTGTGTCCTATTGTCATTTAAATTAGCTTTTTAAAATAAGGGGGAACGCAGTGCGTGATAGGCTTGTGTCAGAATAGCACCGAGTCAAACTCGAGTGGTTGCTGTCACCGTTGTTGATCATCTCCGAGGAAACAGACAGTCTGTGTCAGTCCATCGCAGTTTCTCCCGACAGTTTGCCAATAACTATTGTTTATTTTCATTTTCAGCTCGGTTGTCAGCTTTATTAAAAAAGTAAAATGGCCATTCCGTTATCTTTCTCTTCCCCCCCCCCTTTCCCACAAATATACACAACCGCACACATGCTCTCAACGCACACACACACGCACACAGTCCTGATTTCCACCATGTGGGAGAGAGCCAAGCCATGCCAGGACAGAACCGATTAAGCTGAGCCAAAGAACGAAACACTCATTTTCGCTTCCCCATGTCTGGCTCTACAAAATGGCTGCCAGGCGTACCACAAGGCTCCGTGCTCGGCCCAATTCCTTCTCTCATTCGCTGTTGTTCTATTGCGCTCACATCTCATTGGCTAGCTCCTCCGTTTCCGTGGAAACATCTCCATTGGCGATCTTGGTGTTCTCCTCGTATCCCGGAGGCGTGAAAGCTAACGTGTAAGGGTAAAGCTTGTAGCAGTCTGCGCGGTACGACTCGGCACGCTCCTTACAGTCGCCCAGCACGGCGCTCCGAAGACACTCCAGGACCTCTGTGCAGATCTGAAGAGGGAAGAAAAAAAAAAACTACGTTAGCTCTACATATTTAGCAAAATGTATTTCTTTAAAGTCAGACTTAACTAAAAGTGATCCATCAACAGAGCCGTTTACAATTTACAGCGAATGAGAGGTGAAATGAGGGCTATACTCTGTACCATAATGACGACATCGATGCAAGTATTTCCACTGTGGTATCAATTTGTACTATGTACTTTTTACCAGAGAGGTGTTACATTGCATAACCCATGAATACCTGTATGGTTCTGTTGTTGAGTGACTCATCTAGTGCAGTGGCCAGCTCTGCTGCCTTGGTTTCTGTCGATGAGTCCAGATACACCATCATCTTAGCAGCTGCAAGAGAGAGAACAGTGTCCATGAGTCTGAACTACAGGAGGAATATAAGTTGGAGAAGCAAGATTGGTTATTTTAGGTATGTGAAAGTATTTTGAGAAAGAGAGAACCAAATAGTCAAGAGTGTTGGTAGCAAGTCAGTGATGTATGAAGGTTTTATGATGTGCAGTGGAATCTCAACCCTATACATTAGGAATACATAGGAACAAAAAAACTCAAGATGGAAACATCAAAAGATGGTACAATTTATTTGAGGAATATTTTATTTCTATGGCTACAACATCCAACCACCAGCTCCAGGCGATGGAAACGTTTTTCCATTATCTAGGGCTGGGCGATTTATCTATTTTTTTCAATTATGATTTGGTCTTTTCAACAATTATGAAAACAAGATAATTGAGATCAATCGATAATTGTGCCACATTCTGTTTAGCAATCGTGCTCTCCTTTTGTTGCGCTTTTCCTCCGTGGCGGTGTGCTATGAGCGGCTCTAGGTCTGCTTGAAAAAGCCCAGGTGAAGGTGACTCGCGACTCTGGGCTTTAAACTTCCCCCGCCCAGACCTTTCCACTTACCGGGGACGTGGACTCACTGTGCACTTCTCACAGGGCCCCATGTTGTGTAAAGATCAGACTGTCCTCAGTGCGTGGGGTCTGCGGCGCTGTTGGCGACGCACTCTGGCCGCCTTGAAACCCAGACCCCGTCTCATTTACCATGTGTTGTGAGTGGAACTTTTTTGCCATGTCTCTACCGTTCATATTTACACAACAATGTGTTTATGATTAAATCGTTTACAAGGGCACAAAGTTATACCTCATATACTTCATAGACATACCCTGCTAATTTTACTCTCAAAGTGCACCAGATTGAATAATTAGGGCCCGAGCTACCGACATCGGGCCGCGAAGGCCCTATTGATATTGTAAGGGGTATTATTAGGGCCCGAGCAACCGACAACGTCGGGCCTGCGAAGGCCGTCTTGAAATTGTAGGCATCCGTTATTATTCTGATTTATATTTTTCTAGGGATTGCGCTTGTAGGGGTACTTGCCATGCATGGAAACTCACCAGTTTTGCACACCTGTCAGGTCTGGTGGAGAAACTCCGCTGCCAAAATTTGCATATTTGTGTGTAAAAAAATGGCTCTCTAGAGCCCCCTGCAAATCGGACCGGCGACGCCCCTCGGCCAGTATGTCCGATTTACTTGAAATTCGACACATGTCCGACTCCGCTAGATCTACAAAAAAGCCTCTCAGACCCCTAAGCTCCGCCTACTTAGATTTTCCGCCATATTGAATTTAGTGAAAAACACATTTTGCAAGCTCCTCCTACATGCTGGGTCCGATTGCTACCAAATCTGCGGGGGATCATTATTGGATCTAGATCATGAAGAAGTATAAAAAGCTTTTTGATAGCTCTTAGCGTTTAGAAGATATGGACCAATAAACTTCTTAGGGGCGTGGCTTAATATCAATACTGATAACTTCTCAACCGTTTGTCCAACAATTACCAAATTTGCAGGATATGTGCACATTGCAAACTGAAACATACCCTGAGAATTGTTTTATTCAACCACTAGGGGGCGATACAGTAAACCCGCGAAGTTGTGCTTTTTGTCACTTTTGCAGATTTTAGCCTTCCTACTTTAACGAACTCCTAGAGATTTTAAGCGATCAACTTCTACTTTGGTCAGGATGCTCTTAAGACCTTTGTGATTAAATGTTATCAAAATCGAGAGTTTTCATCGAAGAACCTTGACGTGGCGGCCATTTTGCCTCATTGTTTATGAAAAAAGAAGTTGATATAACTCCAAGGTACATTATCCAATCCGCACAAAACGTCTTATGCATGATGCTACTTCAAGCTTGAACATACTTCACTTCAAAAAAATTCAATAACTCATAGCGCCGCCTACTGGCTAAAGGAAATGTCATATTTTATACTTTCATTTATTCCTCCTAGCCAGGTGACTTGATGAGCCTCAAATGTGGTAAGGATAGCCTTAAGACATTGATGATGCATCACCATGAATATTGTGCATTTTCGTTGAACGCTGTTGCCGTGGCGACGCATCTTTCGCCATGAAAAAGGAAGCTGATGGTTTAGTGACTTGGGATGGTTAAAAACTCATGCAACTTTGTACATGTGTCAAAGGTCATTGGAAGAAATATTCTATATGATTTTTTTAATCGTCCGTTTTAAATTGCCTCTATAGCGTCCCCTACAATATTTCAAAAGAGCAGCCCCAGCGCTACGTTTCAGCTACATGTATGGAACTTGGAGGGTACATGTATCCTATGGAGACTTAAATATAAGTCTCTTGGGACTATGCTCTAAACCCTACCAGAAGTCGCCGAATTTCATTTTTGTGTAATTTTTCCATAGAATTTGGCCTATTTCTAGTTGCTATACTTTAACAAACTCCTAGGGAATTTGTCTGATCCTCTTCAAATTTGGTCAGTACAATCTCAA